TAGTAGAAGGGGGGGGAGACGGGATGAGGGGGGAGAAGAGAGGAGGGGGGGGGAGAGACGGGGTGAGGGCAGAGAGAATAGGAGGGGGGAGGAGAGACGGGGTGAGGGCAGAGGTACATGGCACAGGTCTCGCCACGCCACAGCCACGCAAGACCTCCATGCAGGACCTGCCCTGCGACCTGCACGGCGGCAGTGGCTGCTCCACGGTGGTCAGTGGACACGGCGTCAGTGCAGCCCAGCACACAACTACTCATCCCCTCCAGAGACCCCGTCTCAGGCCCGCACCCAAGGCCATTGATGGCTACGGCCTTCCCCTGCTCCCCCAGCCTTGGCAGCCACCAGTGCCTCCTCCCCGTCCGTGGCTCCGACTGCTCCAGGAACCTCCGTCGTGCAGGTGGATCAGAGCGTCTGTCATGTGCACCAGGCTTACTGCAGTGGCTCAAAGTCCTCGAGCCATCGGAGAGGCCGCAGGTGCCAGTACCTCCTCCCCTCCTCCTCCCCTCCTCCTCCCTTCCCTTCTCTTTTCTTTCTTGGAGAGGTTTTTGCTATAGGGCGCATGCACTCGCCAGGAAGACGGAGAGAGACAGAAAGTGAGACATCGCCCCCCAGAGGGGATGGCTGCGCCGCAATCCCTTCTCCATTCTCCTCTCGGGATCTTAGGCACGCACACACATGCGCCCGGTGTGAATTTAAGCCACCGGGTCCAGGACTTGAACCGCAGTCAACTACATGGGAGTCCAGCAACATAACCATTATGCCAACTGAAGGTCTCTACTCCCTTCCTTTATTAAAAAAGAAATTATTTATTTATTTTATTTGTTATTATCATTATTTTAAATTTGATCAGAAAAAGAGAAGGGGAAAGTGAAAAAGCAAGTCATCAGGTCCAGGACTTGAACTGTGGTCGGCCATGTGGGAGTCCAACACCTTAACCACCATGCCACCTGCTGGCTTCATCCCCTGCCTTTTGTAAGACTGCATCATATTCCCTCCTGCAGACAGTCTGCATTTTGCTTATCTGCTCATCTGTCGCTGAACTCAGGCTGCCTGTCCCCAGCTGGAGTGAGGACTCCTGTTATGCACAAGGGTGTGTGGGTGTCTGTCTGCGCCCCCATGCCCCCCAATCTTCCTGCATATTCCCGCCGACAGTTTGTACAGGAGGTAATTACAATGGGATTTCGAGATGCAAATGCGAAAGTCTTGCTAACCTGACCCTAGTATGTCCCACTGGGATAGCCCTGCCCACAGCAGGACCAGCCGTCCCAGAGGAGTGCTTAGGGAGGCGGTGACATGGCTGTGTGGGAGGGAGACATGAAGGCCCCTCCGTCCCACGGGTCAGGCTGACAGGTCCACTACACCCCACGTCATACCCAGGCCACTGCGGTCTCCACGTGTAATTACCTAGACTTGAAATCCTTCTGTCGAGGCTCTGAGGCTCTGAGCTCACTCACCTCTGCGGCGACCCCAGACCCATCCTGTTTAGGTGACAAGAACCAGCTCCTTCTCCGGGCAGTAAACATGTTTATAAGCAGAACAAGGCCTGGGCAGAACAGGGGCGGCCTTCTCTCGGCTGGCCCCAGTTCGGGTTGAATATTAAACTAGAAGCTCCAAAAGCGATTACTGTGCTCGCAAAGTGCCCCAGGGAGGTGCAGACCAGTCTCGTGTGCCGCGAGAGGTCCCGGCAGGCTGGGTTCAGAGGATGGCAAGGCCGGGACACATCCAGGACACAGGGACGGAGCCTGAGGCAGAGCACGATGGCCCTGGGGTAGGCGAGTCAGGCTGGCCACGAGCTCAAGGCGTCCATAAAAACGCCTGGGGTGGGGCGGCTCAGTGCACAGCCAGCACGGCAGTGAGGAGCTGAGCCCATGTGGCACTGTCATGAATGAAGAGAAACTGCTGTTAAGAAACAAAAGGGCCAGCAGATGGTATACTGGTTACGTCACTGGACTTCCACGTGGGTGGCTGCAGTTCAAGCCCCAGATCCGGTAGATTGAAAATCACACTGGGTGCCTGTGTGTGTGTCCCAAGAGAGTCCAGCGACATAGCCATTACGCTAACTGCTGGTCCCCAGGTTGGTTTCTTCAGGTCTTCCTTTCTTTCTTTCTTTTTTTTTTAAAAAGAATTATTTAATTTATTCATTCACTTATTTTAATTTGACCATAGAGAGACAGAGAGAAAGTGAGAAAGCAAGCTACCAGGTCCGGGACGCGAACCGCGGTCAACTTTTTTGGGGGTGAGGGAGGTTTTTGCTGTAGGGTATTTGTGCTCCCCAGAAAGAGACAGAGAGATAGAGAGCAAGAAATCATCCCCTAGGGGGATGGCCATGCCACAACCCCTTCTACATACTCCTCTCAGGATCTTGAGCATGCACACACATGTGCCCGGCATGAATTTTAAGCCACTGGGTCTGAGACTCGAACCATGGTCAACTACATGTGAGTCCAGCAATGTAACCATTACGCCATCTGCTGGTCTTGAGTGGGGATTATCTCTCTCTCTCTTTTTTTTTTTTTTTGGAGAGGTTTTTGCTAT